AGAAAGTATCTCAAAACTCAAAAGTATAGTATTTAAGGCAATGTACTTAGATACTCTGCCTTAATGAAAACATATGGATGGAACAAGTTGATTTTCAAATCTGAATTTGGTAAAAAAAAAAAAAAAACCTGTGTGCTTTTATATCACATTGTTTTTTTCTGATGGTGTCTGTAGAAGCTTCCCTTTGCTTTCATTACAGGAGGCAGCTAAAATGAATTACTCTAATTCAAGTCACCTGTGCTGTGGCAGAGATATTGTTTTCATTATATTCTGTCAGTAATATGTCAGGTGTATTTGTGTTTCGTCTGCTGTGTTTACAGGAAGCTGCGGGAAGCGATGAACGCTCAGAAGAACGCAGAGAGAGCAACTATGAGAGCTCACTTCAGGAGAAAATATCAGCTGTCTGAGGTCAGTTGAACATCCACTTCAATGTGTTTCATAACATACTGAATGACTTTGAAAGTTACACATCTGTTTTTTAAAATTAATTTTCTGTTTTAAAGTAAACAAATTTTTGATTTCAAACACATTTAAGCCACTTTTAACTGTCCTGTTCACCACAGAGTATAAGATGCTACACCAACTTAATTAAATAAACTTAGTGGTTATATACCTGATTAACCTAAAAACTGTGTAACATTCAACCATGTACAAACCTTTATTTGTTACAAAAATACAAAAATAGGCATAATATATCACCACCTGTATTTTGATGCAGTTTCAGCTTCAGACTTCTAAACTGTATGCCAACAAAGACAAAGTCATACTTAAGAGGTGTATTTTTATTTGTTGTAAATATACTCAATGTTGGTGTTGCATGGGCATTAATAATATAGACAAATAGGTCTAGTTGTTATTATTTTGACACACTTTCAGCCTTTCAACCCTCTTCTTCTGGCTTTCCTTTGCTATTAGAGCTCCAAGGACACAAACCACCTGAGGTCTGCTGGAGGGAAAGTGTCGCTCCCCCATGAGCTGTCGAGGATCATTCATCGTGAAACCAAAACCAAGGACAATGGCTTCAACCTGCTGAGTGCCTTCCAAGGCCTCAGCTTCGGCCCAGCGGCACTCACAGGGAGGAAACACAGCAAGACGTCCACTTATACACCAGCGAGGGGGGACTCTTGTAAAGTCATGTGATCAATACGTGATTACAGGGCTGATCGGCACACTGCCTTCTGGTTGTGTTAGTTGGTAAAAGACATGCAGGGAGAATGCCATCATACATGATTGCTGCTCACAAACAAACAAACTGCATCATCTTACATGAACATACAAACTCAGTCCTGTTACCATGGTTACAGCATCAAAAGTAAAAGTAGAGAAATGGTCCCAGAGAGTGTTTTATTATTTTATATGATTAATATTAATTAATATCAGCATGTGTTTGTAGCATCGCTAGGTTGTAGAACCTAAAAATAACCTGTTCATGAGCTCCAAAACACAGCTCGGCTCACAGCTTTGATGATACATACATTTTCTAGCTAATCTGACAGTTTTTAAATAGTTTATTTACCTTAAGAAGTAGGACATTTTTGTCAACACATAAAGGATCATTTAAATCATTCAGTTTATAAATTTCAAAGATTCAAAGGTTTTCACTGGAAGTGAAGGGTATGAATTTACAACTAGTAACTGAAGCCTCTGAAATGTAGCATAAAAGCATAAAGTTGCATAAATTGGAAGTACAAGTACCTTGAATTTACTTGAAAAATTAATTTTAAATGTACTTAGTTACTTTCCACCACTGCCTGTTACACACAATGACATCGTGTCATTCAGACTTTCTTTCTGTACTTATTTTTTGTTTGTTTTGTAGCAAGAATAACACAGCCAAATGGTTGAATATCTTCTATAAAATAAACTAAATGTAAGTAGGTTGATCAAACCTGTAAATGTAATGAATTCCCCGATAATAACCTTATTAATACACCAGTCAGTTAAAGTTAACTCACAAGTGGTGTTAGGTTTTAACTGATAATACAATAATGATATTGATTAATAAAAGAATAACACATTTTTGTGTTATATTAGTGGTCAATATAATTACTAGATTATCATTTACATTTAGATCCTCCTTGTTATATTCTAATTGTTATTATTTTATACTGTTATATTATCTAGAAGCTACTGTAGCTAGTTTTGTCTTACAGGGTTGTCTGATATAGATCCAACTGTGTGATCTATACACAAGTAAGGAACCTCAGGGTAACATTTTATCACACATTCACACAAGTAATGAAAGAACATTTAATACACTTATTTTATATGAATTATTAACTGTTTTGCTGTTTCTTTGTGAATAATCTGTATCACATTTGAGCCAAATTGTATTTGTAACATTTATTAACCTGATAGTTTTAAGTTATTAGTTTATTCTCTTGTTTTCATTGAGTGGATACAGTGTGTAAAAAGTCTCAAGCTGCTTATTAAATGTTTTTATACAACAGGAAGCAGAAAACCTACAAACTAACAAATGCACAGTTTATTAGCTCTGGAAAAGAACTTGTAATAAAGACATGTTTGACCAGCTGGGCTCACTCTTTTTTCGGCCTTTACGTGTGTGTGTGTGTGTGTGTTTTAGATCAGCCTGACATTTGGGCTCTGTTGTGATACTCTTGAACTCTGTTCTTCACATCCATAAATCATCATCTGCTATCAGTTCATCAGAGCAATAGAGCATGCTCAAGGATATAGGGTTGAGGATGAAGGAGGGAAATAATCAGTCTATTCACGACAACGAGGGTTGCAACAACTCTGGATGAGACCGACAAGCACATCTGGTTTGGACCATGAGGAGCATGTACATCCGAGTGACTGTGTGCATCAGAGCACAGGGCACCCGAGGGTCCAGAAATCTGCTTTGTGGTGCTGCACCACAACGAGCTCTTTGTCTGACTGCAGCAGGGACGGTGGTAGATGGAAAGTTAGAGGGGAGGAAAAGAGGTGAGAGTACAGGAGTTAGAAAGAGGGGTGTGGATGGACGGGTGCGGAGCTTTGAGGAGATCCCTCACACAGGTAAGAACGGCTGGGTCAACTTGGTGAAGTTCTTCAGAGAAGATCGTTTCCGGCACATCCACAAGCACATGGAGAGGACCTTCAACGCCCTCGGCCCCATCTACAGGTAGCAGGATAGATAGTGGGATGATGGGATAGGTGTGGCATTGCTTTTAGAATAATGAACTTAAGTATTGATCATCAAAGTGTGTGTTTTTGTAGCAGTAGGGCATAGAGTTTACACCATAGCCTTTCTGTGTGTGTGTGTGTGTGTGTGTGTGTGTGAAGGGAGCATGTGGGCACCCAAAGCAGTGTGAACATCATGTTGCCGTCTGACATCGGTGAGCTTTTTCGCGCAGAGGGCCTGCACCCCCGACGGATGACCCTGCAGCCCTGGGCAACACACAGAGAGATACGCCAGCACAGCAAAGGAGTCTTCCTCAAGTCAGTACCACACCTCATGTTGTAGTGAAGTCCCCACTATGTATGTCATACAGTTTTAGAGTTATGACTTGGTTTAAAGTTAGGTCTATGTTCAGGGTTATGCAGCTAGTATTATTATAGATTAGGACTCCAGTGAATGATTATGAATGTTCCCCTGAGTGGTGGAATCAAGTTTCTGTGTGTGTGTTTAAGTGCATGTAATCACTTGCCATCATCATCTTGCTCATTTTTTTTGGGTCATTCAATCAGCTGTGGAACATATTCAGCTACAACCTTGTTACTGTAGCTTTTTAAAACTCTTATATGTTGAATATTAATGTGATTGTAGCATCTTTCAAATTATTCTGATGGTTTTTGTTTGTATAAAAATCAGCCAATTCCAGTAAAAATTGGTGCAGCTTGTGTTGCTTTCTTCTTTCTTGGGAAAGTCACATGAGACTCAAAAGCAGCAGAAGCAGAGATATCCCGACTTTCAGTCTCTAATATAGGTAAAACCACTGGATTTTACAGTTCCCATAATTCAAATAATGATATTGTTTCTTTTACCTGCCCACAGCTTTAAAACTCCACACTCCCTGCTTGGAACGCAGGCTTTCTGTTTATAAATTTGCAGTGTTCAAGCTAAAGATGAGATAATCCTGCAGAGATCATCAGGACTATGTTGTCAGCAGTGGTGTAGTGGTGCCTGGAGAATTGGGTATACTCCTTATTTTATGGCCCAAATTTTATTTTAAAGTGGCCCATCCAGCAAAGGATAAATGAGTGAGGTATTCCTTATTCCTTACTCCAATTGGAAATTGGGAAAATTGGACAACTAGGTCATGCATAAAATTCAGCTTGCAGAACACACCAGAATGATGTGCATCAAAGAAGAAGTGGGTATACCCAATACCAACTTATACTCTGTATACCTGTGTATACCCTGCAATATACCACTGGTTGTCAGACTTTAGAAAGATCTCCAGAAACACAGGATATAAAACTGTTTTCACAGGCAAGTTCTCATCATGATGAGTGAACTGGCCTTTATGTGTAAGAGTGCCCCTTTCTGAAAGCATTTGAAAATCAATTATGTCCTTCCTCCAGACAGAAAATGTCTGGAGGGTACACAAACCAACTACAAAAAGGCAAAAATCACCACAAAGAGATACATCTTTCAATCCCCATGAATACAAGATTGCAAGGACACGCAAAACAACTGAAAAAAGACCACAAAGAAAAGTAGAATGACCACAAATAGAAACAAAACAACTACAAAATGACTACAGAGACACACATATTTTAAGACTCCGTGACAAGACTATAAAGAGGCACAAAATGACCACCATGAGTCGTAAAACAACCACACAGAGATGGAAAATGACTACAAACCACATTGTTTGTGTGCTTTTGTGTCTCTGTAAGCCTGCATGTCTTTGACATCTCATAATGCCACGGTCTTAGGTTATCACAGTAATAACTGGATGGATAATGGTAAAGTTGGGTAGAGGTTTACACAGAAATTGATAGAGGAACAGACTTTGACACAGCACCTCTACTTTACAAATATTTAAGCAAAACAACGGCACATCTGCTTCAGACCCAGTTTCACAATGACAGAGGAGAGGCGAAACGGGACGACTTTAATGCCTCGGTCCAAATCTTCTCTCCACAGGAACGGTGAGGAGTGGCGAGCTGACCGTCTACTGCTCAACAAGGAGGTTATGATGACTTCAGCAGTAAAGCGCTTTCTACCCCTGCTTGATGAGGTGGCGAGGGATTTCTGTCGAATGCTGCGGGCGAGAGTGGACAGGGAGGGAAGAGGCGAGGAGCGGAAACGCAGTCTCACCCTGGATCCCAGTCCTGACCTCTTCCGCTTCGCACTGGAAGGTCGGAGGTCATCATCCCCAGTGATCTGTGACATGTGGTCTATTCCTATGTGTGATTGCACACTTTAAGTACACATTAATTCCTGTTTTATTTACACTGAGGCCATAAAGTTATGTCTGGAAAAGTGTAGAGAGGTGTAAGAAAATGAGGCTCTGATGGGGATATCCCACCACCCAACAGTCTCCCTTTTCATCCAGCAATGATCGACCTTGAGGCCTGGGGGAGGGCAGGGTATGGATTAATGTCACCTTCTTCGTTTCATTCACCTTAACAATCAGCTCTTTTTGTTGAGTCACAAATGCTGACGTAGGCTGTGACAGTGTCTGACGTCAGAGGAATTATACAATCTGCAGGAGCATCACCGTCTTCAAATCTTTAAAAAAAACAACCCCTTCCACCCTGCTAATACCTCACTGCCTCCGCTGTTTCTGTTCTCAGTTTAAAATATTCTCACCTCGTATGAGAATCAAACCTCATTTTAACCTGAGGGCATATCTGTCGTTAACATATTATAGATGTAGGAGGTCAAGGAGAACATGCACCTTTAAAAATAGAAACACCAACAAAGATGATCAAAGCTGCAGCATTCTTTCACCAGGTCTGCTCCTTTCATGTGCCTATCTGCAACATGCCACATTCAGTGTGAATGCGTGTGTGACTCAGTGTGCCGTTCACTTGCATGCATCTGTGTGTGTGTGTATGTGAGAGAGAAAGAGAGAAAGAGTGTGGGTAGGGGGGAGAGTTGATGACTTTGAGTCATGCTGGTTTGCGCTTAATGGACCACAGCTCTTGAAGCCAGGTGCTAAGCCGGGATAGGACTAGACCCCCAAGAAACTCTATTCCAGTGATGTGTGGTTAATATAAAACAAGCAGGTCTGATAGGTGATGGATGTCTGGTGTAGGAGAGACAGTTCCTCTGAGACAATGTATGTGCTCAGGAAACAAAATTGTCTATCTGAGTGGAGCTGGACTGGAAAAATACAGCATATTTTCTCGCTGTCACAGAGAAAAATGTCTTTTAATGGTAACTATGTAAAAACGTATGTATTTTTTGGGCTTGTAATCCTTCAAAGCTTACATTTAAAACATAAGAATATGAGTCAAGGGGTTTTATAATCTACTTAAACCTACTACAAGGAGTTTTTCAACTGGTTATGAGTCTAAATTTCATACTAATGCCTCTATATGACCCACATAAGCAAATGAGACCATCAATGAGAAGATTATTTCTATACGGTTATTTTTACTGCCTGCCACCAAGCCGGATTCCCCTTTAAATCAAGATTCATGACACAAGGTGGTGGAAACACTACCGCTTTCGTCCACAAGGGCCACCAGAATTAAGATACATATAATATAACATATTTTCTTGTTTTAGCCTTTTTTTAATTTTCTGAATGTTTGCTTGCTAACATCAGTTATCTCTTACCCTCCTCCCCCCTGTAGCCAGTTGCCATGTGATCTATGGGGAGCGTATTGGCCTCTTCTCCTCATCTCCCTCCATGGAGTCCCAGAAGTTTATTTGGGCAGTGGAGGAAATGCTGGCAACCACCCCTCCTCTCCTCTACCTGCCCCCTCGCCTGTTGCTCCGCATTCGCGCCCCCCTGTGGACCAAGCATGCCAGTGCATGGGATCACATCTTCAGCCACGGTAGGAGGAGCTGAAGGCCTTCACTGGACTCCTAAGTCTACGGGAATAATGGATCATATCACCTACATATCTAGTTTATGTAACCCTCTTAAATCTATTTCAGTAATTCCCCTTCACTACTTTCATCTTGCCTATCTTCCTGTCCTGGTATTCTTCCAGCGGAGGCGAGGATTCAGAGGGGGTACCAGCGACTGTCATCCTCCAAGGATCTAGGGTCTGAGGCTGGAGCACCAGGAGCCCAGTACACCGGGGTCCTGGGCCAACTCATGGAGAAAGGGCAGCTATCTTTGGACCTCATCAAAGCCAACATCACTGAGCTGATGGCCGGAGGGGTTGACACGGTGTGTGTGTTGGCTTTGTGTTTGGCTTGTGTTTATATGCCTCACCCCAACTGATTCCATGTCACCTCTCATCCCATCCTCTCTGCAGACAGCAGTGCCCCTGCAGTTTGCTCTGTTTGAGCTGGGCCGTAACCCGGAGGTGCAGGAGATGGTGAGGGAGCAGGTGAGGGCGTCATGGGCTCAGGCTGGTGGTGACCCTCAGAAAGCCCTGCAGGGGGCGCCACTACTGAAAGGCACAGTCAAGGAAATTCTCAGGTATATAATAACCAATCCTTATTTATGAATATGCAGCATATGAGCACAAAATAAACTAAAATAATGACACAAAACAGTCTCAAGTTTTTAGACCTCTTATCCACTTATTAACTTTTCCAGAGCTTTCAACCATATCACAACAGTGGATGGAGTTTGTTCATTTGTCCTAAAGATGGATCTGTTGACACGTGAGCCCAGTTGTTCTTGGGTTAAAGCAGTTTTTAAAGTGCTTTTTAACAAACTACGGAGCTCCCATATCAATAGAGCCATCTCGATAAGCCCTGGAAACAGTAGCGGTTTTGGGCAGCGGGCAGCTGCCCAGGGCGGCAGTTTTTCATGACATGGGGGGGTGGCACGAGCACTTACAAAAAAAAAACCTCTGCGCCCACTACAGCTGCAAGCGCCCCTGCTTGCTGAGAAGATGCCGTGCACACAAGCTGTGTTAGAAGGGGGCGGGGGACAGTTCACCT